TGTGAAAAATAACTGTCAAAAACCAACAACCATGGGAAAATTGTGTTTTGTTGGTATTTGCTAGGGCAGTGTAAACTAGCTTTAATATTGCCTTTCTAGCAAATGTGATGGAAGTTGATAGTTTATAAAGTGATAACCCTGTCAGCAAAATACTTACAGCAGGGAGCCAGTAAACCTCAATTTTAATGAATATCATTAAATTAAATTGAAAACCAAATGAGTGTTTTGATTAAAGTGAAATGTCCACTTTCATCTGCCAGGAGCATAACAATGTTTTGTCCTTATACAGTACACATCAAGTATCACACAGATGTTTGCATGAAAATATCGACACACAAGTGTATGTGGAGAGATCAGAAACAGTGTGTGTGTGTGTGGATGTGATCCAGGCCCCTCGACCCCCAAAGCAGCCCAACATCCAGGACTTTCAGTTCTTTCCACCACGTCTCTTTGAGCTGCTGGAGATGGAGATTCTTTACTACAGGAAAACCATCGGATACAAGGTGAGCACTTTCTGTACATCTTAATTGTATTCAATATTTGTGTACAATCTGCTCAAGTGTTTTCTGTTGAAGCATCTGATATAAAGCTGTGTGCGACTGTGTATATGTGTTTTTTGTAGGTTCCACGTAATCCAGATATCCCAAATTCAGTACAGGTCCAAAAGGAGGAACAAGCAAAGATAGACGAGGCAGAACCCCTCTCACCCGAAGAGACAGAGGAAAAAGAGAAACTACTCACACAAGTACACAGAAGTCCCCTCCCTATCACTCATATATACACACTTATAAATGTGCCACATACAGAGCTCAGTGCTATAAAAGAATATGTTTGTTTTTACCAGGGCTTCACAAACTGGAACAAGCGTGATTTCAATCAGTTTATTAAAGCTAATGAGAAGTATGGTCGTGATGATATTGACAACATCGCCAGAGAGGTGGAGGGCAAGACGCCGGAAGAAGTCATGGAGTACTCCGGTACAATACACACCAGATCAACTATACACAAGCCATACATCTAAACATCTATAGAAATTACACACTAGTGATATGCAAACTACATATTTTCAAAATCCGCTAGTTGGTGGGTTGCTTTAACTAAATGGTCTCAGGGAACCCTGTATAATTTTGCTGGTTTTAGGGTTCATGTGACCTGACCAAATAAAAAAATAAAAAAAGTAAAAACAAGGATGAAATATATAATGGAGTATGAATAATAGAGTATATATAAAATATATATTAAAATATTAAACATCGTAAGATGAGAAATAATGATGGCAATAAAAAATAATAAATGTAAAATGTATTTAATATTATTAGAATAAAATATTATTATTGTTACTGTCATCATTGCTCATCTTATTAATTTCAATACTTAATTTATAGTGTGAACTGTCAGCATGCTAATTAAAGCATTAAAAAAAAAATCGAATTGTCTGTTGTGACCCAATTCGTATTGTACACGCACACGCACACACACATACACATAAAATGCACAAGTAACTACCTTACACTAGTCTGAACCACACAAAAAATGCCTTACACATTGTTTATCATTATAATAGCGGTGTTTTGGGAACGCTGTAATGAGCTGCAGGATATTGAGAAGATCATGGCTCAGATAGAGCGAGGAGAAGCTCGCATCCAGAGACGCATCAGCATCAAAAAAGCCCTGGATGCCAAGGTCAACCTTTCAAAAACTTGCCATGGAATTCAGTTATGTTGTTGACAGGCCAGTTTTTTTTTTAATGGCTGCTGAATTATGATTGTGTGGTGGCTTTATTATTCCTTGCTTTCGATAATGAGCAGCCTCAATATTAGGCAATGAAGTCACAGCCTTATCACATGAAGCAAGAAACTTTAAGAGAAATTTTCATTTTTGATGCAGTAGTAATTAGTAAATATTACTTGTTTGATGATGTGTGTTTTGTGTATTTGTAGATAGCGCGGTACAAGGCTCCGTTCCACCAGCTTCGTATCCAGTATGGCACAAACAAAGGAAAGAACTATACAGAGGTGGGTGCATGTGAGAGAGATGTGTGTAGCGTGTTTACTAAAAACTTCAAATATGGAAACTTTTCTATATGTGTGTGCCTGCAGGAGGAAGACAGGTTTCTGATTTGCATGTTGCATAAGATGGGCTTTGATAAAGAATATGTCTATGAAGAACTTCGACAGTGTGTACGGAACGCTCCACAGTTCAGATTCGACTGGTTCATCAAGTCCAGGACTGCCATGGTGAGAACTTGTTTGTGCTAGAGCCAAGACTCCCACACTCTCAGGAAAAAAAAAAAAAAACACTCTAACAAACATCTCCCTGGCATCTGTTTGCAAAGTTTCAGATCCCTGAGGTTTTTTTTTTTGTTGTTGGTTTTTTACCCAGAATCTAGCACTCTCAGGAAAAAAAAAAAAAAAACCTGTACCAAACTGTCACTGGGTGGTACCTTTTCAAAAGGTACTAATATGTACACTTTAGGTATAGTGCTAATATGTATCTTTAAGGTACTAATATGCATCATTTAGGGGTAAATAAGGTGCAAAGATGTACCTTGGTGTACTATATATATATATATATATATATACTTTTAAAAAAGCGACATTAAATGTCAATTGCAAAGCCTTTATTTAGAGGCATCGCCACATGGAAAAAAGATTCATAAAGAGTCTAAAAAGCACCTTAATTTATTATTAATGTTAAGGTTATATAACAGTTACAATCAGCTCACATTAGATGTGAATGGGAAGTCTCATATGGATATATTTTCGTGGTTGTGTGTGTGTGAACAGGGTTTACTTGGCTTTACTTTGGGGACAACATTGTCCCCAGAAGTGAACTGAATCTGACAAAGCTTCTGTTTGGGAAGGTCCTCAATTGGAAAAAAGTTAATAAATTCTAACCCATTAAGATGGGTTAAAATGAGTCTGTAGTGTTTATGTAAAAACAATAAAATAAAAGATAAAAGCCTATGGAACGTTCTCATTTAGACAGCCGAGTAAATGTGTATGCGTGTCAGACACAAATGCAAACATTTTTTAATCACATATCCTAGGATCTTTTTCAGGTCATATTGGCATGCGTGTTTGTGAAAGCGTGTGGGTGCAGATGCTTGTGTGATGCCTGAAAGGAATTGTAAAAGTCGATGAGATGTGATGTATAACTCTTGTGCTGAGATGATGAAAGAGTTTCCTTCCATGTGTTTTGTCTGGTTTGCTAGGAGCTGCAGCGGCGCTGTAACACGCTCATTTCTCTCATTGAGAAAGAGAACATGGAGATAGAGGAAAAAGAGCGCGCTGAGAAAAAGCGAAGAACACCCAAAGGACAATCAGTAATACGTCCTGTCTTCTTTCTTTTTGCTCCATCTGTTGTTGTGCTCCGTGCTTCACGTCCCCAGAGACTTTCCCTCTAGTTCAGAATCACGCTTGAACAACTGAACAAGAACAATATGCAAATGATCAAAATTCCCCTCAGATTTACTGTCCGCAGTAAAGTATAGTATATTCCACTGACGATTTCAACCCTGTCTATCTATCTGTATCTGTCTATCTATCAGAGCATGTGCATGGTGAGTTGCAAGATTTTGCCTGGAGCGAGGAGCGTTTTTTTTGGGCTGTTCTCTCTTGCTTCAGTACTGTTCCATCACATGCTAACTGCCTATAATGTCAGCAAGATTTACAATCTGTTAAATCTGTCTCACTTCCTATCTATCTATCTATCTATCTGACTGTCCAAAAAGCATGATGTTTTTTTCATCTTTTCACAGGCTCACAAGCGTAAAGCCGACGTGTTGTCTGACAGGAAAGAGAAGAAATCTCGTACCTGACTCGTGTACCCGCAAGCCCTTTGCTCCCCATTACGAAGCACTACAATAATCAGACGCCTCTACAGCATTTTGCCATTCTGTTTTTATCTGTTGTATCTGTGACTCAACACCAGGTTCTTAAAATAACCATGTACATCTAAAATACTTCCATACTGTATTGATTTTTGTCCCACGGGCTGCATACATGTTGGCAGCTACACATTTTGCTAAAGCTTCTTTTTAATCAAAATTTTTTTCTAAATGTTCCTTGTTCATATCAACATTGCCATTTATTTAGCATGCTAAATAGAGGCTCTAAAGCCTGTTCTGGTCTTGTTTGTGTTTTATAAATGAAAACTTTTTGCCTGTTATTGTATGTTTAAGGTCTCTGTGGTCTGCACCTTAATCCATGTGATCTGTAGCTTTGCACATCCAGTCTTCTTAAGCTCTTTTATACATTCATGTGCCATTTTAATGTTGCATTTAAGCAATTTTACACATTCTTGTTTGGACTCTTGTTTGAACCTTTCCCTATCTTTATATGTACAAGTCTAGTATTATTAAAAAACTAAATTGTTGGATTTGTTTATATCTTATTTATGTTTATATCTTATATGTTTTATTGTGCAAAAAAAAATTGTGCCACTTTGACGTTACAAACCTTTTAATGGGGCAAAAAATCCTAACCAATCCTAACCAGGCATGTCAAAACAGCAATAAAAGTTTATCTTCTACACTGAAAGTGATTCACAGTGACCAAACCCCTCTGAAACCAGTCTCTGAGACCAGCAAAGCATAAATACTGCTTTAAGCTTTTTTTTTTTTCAGGTTAGACGTTATATTACACCAAACATTTTTGAATAATGTCAGTGGATAAACTTTGGCAGCCCTAATATACTGAAAAACAAAACAATTACAGAATGAAAAGTAAATTAAGAAGACAAGTTGAAAACAAAATATAAATAATACACTAAATAAAAAATTAAACCTATAATAATCTTGGTCATTGTCAAAACCAGGGGTGGCGAACTCCGGTCCTGGAGAGCCGCAGCCCTGCAGAGTTCAGCTCCAACCCTGATTAAAACTCACCTGCCTGTAGCTTCCTAGTAACCCTTCAGACCTTGATTAGCTTGTTCAGGTGTGTTTGATTAGGGTTGAAGCAAAACTCTGCAGGCCTGTGGCTCTCCAGGACCGACGTTCACCACCCCTGGTCAAAACGAACGCAACATTTACTCCGGAACAAATCGGGCTTGAGCCCGCGCGTTGTAGGTTGTGTGGTGACTGAGTGACAGCGGCTGCAGTACCGCATATCTCGCCACATGGGTTCGCTGTTGTACTTTCTCTCCTGAAGCCTGGCGCGCCACAGAACATTCTCTCCGCACGGCTGTTGAATGTGTACCGCGCGCCCTCACCGTTTCTGTCACACACTCAGACAACGTGAGTACAGAAACCGGTTGTCTTAAAGGCACGAAGAAACACCTGAACGAGCAGAGATGAGCTGCTGGTCGGTATCTGACTCGGGTCTCACTCTGAGCACATCATTGGTTCTGGTGACATCCGTTACCATACCGCACTGATGACATCTTATTTAAGCGCGCAGACAAGACAAGGAAACCTGTACCATCAGGTGACAGCTTTGGTTCAACAGCACTAAACAAAGTCTCTCTATTTCTCCCTGCCTCTTTCTCTATCGCTGCCTCTTCACTCCTTTATGTAAAAATGGGGGTTTTCAAATTGAATTTGCAGCTGGTGTGCGTGTCTCAATCGCACCTATAGGGTTTATGCAAGGCACACATACACTCACACACACACAGTCATTAGTACCCAAATGACCTGCTGTGACAGAACTGCAGTCACACTCTTGCATTCAGCTTCCTGCTCACTGGCCCAGAAATCCAATCTCCCCCATCATCCATCTCCGTGTGCACGCGTGTATCAGTGTGTGTGTGTCTTGAATGCAGGTGTTAATGTGTTTTGTGCCTTATCTCACTCAACCAAACCTACTACATAAAACATATGCAGCTCAGAAAGAGCAAGAAAGAAGGGGTACACTGCAATATTCACTCTTCTGTTTCACTGGGGACAGGAACAGGTAGAATTGAATGATGAACATAATGTCTTAGTTTTCAAAAGACGATTTGAGACCGATGTGTTCTAAAGTTTAACAGAGATTGTTTACCACAAAATGTTTCCCTTGTGAATTCTCGCAGCCCCGTACTCTTCAGAGCTGTCTTTCTTTACTTATTTTGGCTGTGAACTAGGCTACTGTTTATTAGACATTGCAACTATGAAGATCATGAATATAATGGCATGTGTGAGTTTGGATGGTCTTGAAAATTGTTTAAAAAAATAAAAAAAAAGACTTTATAACAAGATTTGGTTAACCAGGTTTGACATCACTGATGACATTGGTTCTTGCATGTCTTGTACTCAATCACAGTACAAGTTCGAATATGCTGAACCTCTTAAGGAAATATACTTCAGTCAGGGTATAGCTCCATATAATTTGGACAGGAATGAAATTGAGGCAGTGAGGGATAGAAGTACAGTGTGTTCTTTGGATTGTACTGTTGTTTAACAGCATACTGATTGTTCAGCTGATGAAAAGTCTTTCTGAAAGTAGACAAAAACTCCTTGTTTTGAAAGTTGTGAACACGATCTAGGACCTTTATACAGTGTGTAACATTGTAAAGAAAATTGTATTCATTCATGTTAAATTCAATTTTATTTTTATTTTTTTTGTTTATTGAAAGTTTCTTTCAGAAAGACCTTTGGTCAGCTGAATATTTGGTGTGTTGTTAAACGACACACTGCACTTCTGTCCCTCAGCCTCAATTTTATTCCTGTCAAAAATTAAATATGGCAATATCCTAAGTAAGGCCTATTTTCCAGTAAAACTGCTATGGACAAACATACATACTCTAGATTTCTCTAAATATGAGAAATCCAGTTCATAATCATTTCTACACCCTTAGTTGTAATTACATCTTTGCACCAAATACCACAAGAGCATCATTCTTAAACCACAGAGCATCTGCATTCATGCTTACAGCCATTAGGGAGAGTTGTACAGGTTCCTGCACCCCACCCAGCCTTTTCCCAAATAATCATTTTGCACTGATTGTTTGTTTTATTGTCTGTTAAAAAAAAATCTATTCCAGCCACTGATGTTGCATTTATTAAAATAAGTTTTAACTGTGATACACTTAATGTGAAGGGACCTTGAAACGCTAGTGTTAACAGCTTGTGCTAATTGGCTTGGAGTAATTTGTTTATCCAGCTGTACAAAAGAGACACGGGTGTGCCACAGGGACACCGTGTCTCTCCGAGTAGAACGAAAGGACCGAACACAGATTTCGGAGTTTGTTGCCATCAGAGGTGTAAAGTATTGGAGTAAATGTAATTAGTTACTGTACTTGAGTATCTTTTTGGATACTTTGTAGTTGTACTGAGTATCAAAGATATTAGCAACTTTTACTCTCTACTTCACTACATTTTTGAATGAGTATCTGTACTCTTTACTCCACTCTTACTCCATTTGAAATGAGTGTTGCAGTTACACATTACATTTGGCATGGACCTAGCTTTTTCTGCAGCAGTTTATTTCTGCTACAAAAGACGTGATACTGCCTATTACAGGTCACTGAAAGTACTGCATCTTGTGCGTTTTGCCCTTACTCACCCAAACTTGTCAACAAGGCTACTTTACATGAATGCGAGTTCCTTAGGAAGTATTTGTGAATCACAGGTGTTTTATATATGAGATGAGAACATGACTGCAGCCGGCAATGAGGCCCAAACCAGCACATCCACTGCAAGAAGGCTTCGGATTTTTAATTTTACTTAACATTATTTTATTTATCCATTATACTGAAGAGAACTTTTTTAAAGATATTGTTTTTTTGTTTGTTTGTTTTTTTGTTATGTAATTTTGAGGTGTTCAGTTTTATTTTGGTTTTAGAAAATAAACGTGATTGCTCTCCCCACAAATCAACTCTTTCTTGTTTTTGTTTCATGCTCTCTGTGCCTTGCCCTAGACTTTAATGTCACTTCCTGTCTCCCGTGGTGTTTGCAGTCCGTTTGTTCATTGGTTCCCCTTGATTAGTCTCCCCAGGTGTGTCTTATCTTGTTAAACTTGTTAGTCCTCTGTGTGTATATATAGCCCTAGTTTTTCTTTAGTTCCCTGTGAGTTGTTGAATGTAATGGTTGTCTGTTTACCAGTCATTCTGTTCTTTGTTCCCTTTGGTTTTTGCCTTATTGTTTGTTCTAGTTTTTCCATGAAATACCAGCACATAGATCCTCTGCCTGTTTTCCGCAGCTTCTCCACAACATTACAGTTTTTTAACTAGCATGTCTCTTTGACTAGTGCATTTTTTGAGCCTATATTTAGTATAAGTAAAATACTTAAGTACTGTTAAAATCAGATACTCTAAGACTTTTACTCAAGTTGTTTTGGAATTGGTAACTTGTAATGTGTAGTGGAGTAATTTTCACTGTAAGGTATCTGTACTTTTACTCAAGTATGGTTTTTAGGTACTCTTTACACCTCTGGTTGCCATGGATGCAGCTTACCTCCTGTGAATGACAGTGTTCTGAACGACGCTTGTAATGAATCGGTTTCTTTAATTCACCTTCTATGAAACATCTGTTAGGAATCACTTCTGTCCACCATTTCCTAAGAATCATTTGTTCGACATATTCTTTGTAGGCTTGTCTGTTCCTGCATGGATGATCAATAAATCAACGGCCTCACAGATAGAACGCAAGAAAGAAAAAGAAAGAGAGAAGATCAGCATCTCCAGACAAGATAAGGCCATAAGAGGCAATCCAGTGAAATTCTGGTAAGATTTGCTTATCCTGAATTATATTTACACTGCAAAAGGATTTAAACAAATATAGCACGAAAGTTGGGTTTACACTAGCCTCAGGCGGCACAGCCACGCATCATCAGCAGTCTGTTCACCGTCTGATGCATATTGCATACAAAATCTGCAAGTGGTATAATTCATTTCAGATAAACATGCCTAAACAACATGTAAAAAAAAAAAAAACTGTGATTGATGGATTGCTTTTTAATGTCAGATGATCTCTTGCTTACTAATTGGTAGTCCTTGGTCAGACAAAGCTGCAGTGAGGACTAGACTTTATGCTACACTTGGCTACACTTGTATTTACACTGGAATAGGATTGAATCAATACCAGAATTTTGGCTTTAGAAAGATTTAAGCCTCCGGTACCTAGATATCAATATTAAAGTAATGCCCACAGAGGTTTTCAAACTTCCTAATGGCACGGACCCCCAAATATTATGATCCCCCTTGAGACCCCTTCATAAAATATAAAAGACAGCTACAGTATATAATTTCATGTATAAAGACAAAATTTTAATTGTGACAAATAAAATATATGTATATCTTTCTATTAATGTGAATTTCTGACTAGTCCTTAAATTTTAAATGATTATCATTAGATTTTTTTACACAGTTTCTCCTCTAAATTTTTCGATGGGCTTCCTAGCACTCCTTTGCACTCCCTTGGGGATCCCTGTACCTTATATGTACCTATTACATATAAAAATGAAACATAGTCCTGGCCAACTCTACATAAAACAACAGCAACAATAATAACAATACTATCATTATTATATTTAATAATAATGTTAAATATATTAATTCAATAATCATTTAAACAATAATAAGTAATCCAATAAAATGTATAATATATAAAATGTATCGCTATAAAAACAACAACTACAACAGTAATAATATAATAAATAAATTATTATTATTATGTACACCTGATGTATATGAGTAATGTAATCCTTATGTAGCTTATTCTGTTACAAAATGCTTGATTGGTTGGATTTTTCAAATGGACAAGAAAAGCCTTGAAGACTTTGTAGTGTAGTATAGTCCTAATTATTACTTATGAACTGATCATACTCTATTAATATATTTAACTAATCCATAGTCCTCCATCATGGATTTTGTCTTTATCATATTCTGTCTTGTGTACGGTGACGAATGCATTTAGACCATCAGACTTCCACACAGCAGGGATAAACTGCTCTTCATCTCTGTGTTTGGAAGCTCATTTAGTCTTATTAAAGTTCAGAGCCTGTTCTCTGTAGCCCTTTGTAGGAAAAAACGAGCTGCGGCTGTCAGACGCAGAGTCCCTGAGCACACACCGAGCGCCTGTGCTGAGAACACGATCTGCTGAGGGAAAAAAGGGCATTTTCAACACTGACATTTCCGTGGATTAATAATAAATATCTCATTAAATGAAAAAACATCTCTTCAGTGGCCTTGTGTTGACAAATTAATCTTTTGTCAACATTTTCCATGCTTCACATCACACTGTGTGAACTGCTGAACTGTGCTGTATAACAGGTACCGAAATTTAAGGAATGATATCGTACCACTGTAATTTTTTACTGTACTCATATTATTTTTAATGTAAAAGTGGGTGTGTCTTTTTTTACCGTAAATGTGGGGGGCTTTCTTTGTGAGCCGTTTCCTGTTATGTTAGCTGTAACGTCACTTTTAGAGCACCACCTTTAAACATTTGAACCAGAATGATTAAACAAAAACACCTCAGTTGCACAGAAGAATAAAAAAAACTAAACCGACTTATAAGAGAGGACAAGACAGACCAAAAGAACACTGTTTTCATGAACGCCACTATTTCATTCCCACTACAGACATGGGCGGGGACCCTCTTATGGTTTTCTTTTTTCCTTTCTCTTTCATTCTTTCCCCCATCCTCAGCAAAACTTTGTGTAGTGTGAGACTGTTCAATACCTCAGCCTCAATAATGGAAACGGCATGGTTCTCTTTCCGCCAACGTACAGCAGTGCGTTCACTGGCTACCCGTGTCCACCAGTCTAAGAGCGGCCATGTGCTTTCTCTGATAATGTTTAGGCTGAACAGCTGGTCCTAGATCAGAGCGCCACATCACACCGCAAGACATTTCATCAGGAGAGACCACAAAGAGTGCGAGTCAGAAAATCAAAGGCTTTTAGAGGACAATGTCATTTCTTTCCTATAAAAACATTGTGCCCCCCCATCGCACGGATATGAGGCTGAGAAACAAAGTGAAATCTGTAAACAGCACAAGTCGATAAGGGGGCTCTGGGTGGACCTGATCATGTGTGACCCCCTGTCGGGCGCATCAGTGGTTCCCATGGTGACCGAGTGCCTGCGAGTTGACTTCTGCTTCCACAGTCAATGGCTCTTTCTCTCTCGCTCTCTGTAATGTCATACCTTAAATGGAGATGACTAATTACTAGAGTTAATTAATTTAACGTGTGTTTGCATACATATGAGGTATTTGCCTTACTTGGAGTTTAAGTGATTGCATTTTTGTGAGTGTGTGACAAAGATAGAGCGTGCGTGTGTGTGTGTATGCTTGCCCATGCAGACTTGGCTAATCCCTGATCGTGAGATGGCAGAGAATATGCTGGATTTCTTAAGGCTGCCTTCGTTTCATGTCAATAAGTAATGCCAAAACTCTCTCTTGCACACACACACACAATCACACACACACAGAGTTTGTAACATCAGTTGGCCATTTACATTCTGTTTCCAGTATGAACAAAATGTTATTTTCTGTTCATAAATGTCCCATGTCTCCATCACTTATAAACATGCAGGAACATTCTCTTGATATTCGGCAGCAGACAAAGCCACTGCTTTTAGCCCGAATGGAAATATATGTTAATGTGTGCATGCAATTAGGTGAAAAAGAGATAAAATGAGAGCGAGAAAGAGAGAGCGAGTAAGTCTGAAAATATGGATTGCTTAATGTGTATGCATTGCAATTAGAAGAGAGGGAACGAAAGGGACAGAGAGAAAGAGAGAGGAAGTTCTGAAACCCCGCTCCCGCCTTCTCTCATTAACATTAATTCGTGCATAAAATCTCCATGTGAACAAAAGGGATGAGCAGTGGCAGAAGTGGTGGACGTCCAAAAGCGTGAAATTTCCAGTAAATCCCATAAAGCATTTATTTAGCTCTTCCTCCCCTCAGAATACATTACATCTTGTCGTTGTTTCAGCTGGTCCACACGCTGGACTTTTGCAGTGCCTGTATCATCTGACCTTCCCGCGAAAAGGGTCCAAAATGTTCCAGCTTTATCACATTACACATGCCTTGAAGTCCCTTGATTGGATACTAGTAAATGTTAAAATTGATTTCGTTTTGCTGGTGTTCAGATCCCATAATGTGTTTGCAGCTCGGCCCATATCTAATAAGCTAGTGAAGTTTGTTACAAACAGGTCTCTGTGGTCTTCTAAACCTGTTCTAACAGGCAGAACTAACATTTATGAGGATGTACAATCCCCAGCTATGGAACAGGCTGCAGAAGACATCAGGCTCTCTGAGGAGCTGTTCACAGATGATGCGTTCTTGCGCTCAAAAAAAGACGTAGTGCAGTAAAACAAAACAAAAAAAGCAGGTGTCTTAAGATGTGTTTTTAAAAAGTTAAACTGTTTTTAACTTGATAAAGCTATTCTCATGGCCTAAAATGCTACAAAAAAAAGAAAGACGCAAAATGTAAATGGTGTGTATGTGTATATATATATATATATATATACACACAATAAACTTAATATGTGTATATGTTACATCTAACTATTTATCTGTAAGGTTTATAAACCTTTAAACTTTAAGGCTCGCATTTGTAATTCAGTTTAATTCTACCTTCTTTAATTCAATTATTTTATACTGCTTCCTTTAATCCTGTTGTTTACTACCTCACTTTTTGAATTGACAATTCCATTCTGAATAGTGTACAATAAAAAACAGTGCAAAAACATGTCCTGTGTGAAGACTCCACTTGATACCATTATAGAAAGTCTAAACACATGGAGTTTGCTTACTGTTCCTGACCCTGCTAAAAAACAGCATTATTTTGCAGTATTTTGGATGCTTGTCTCCAGAGTGATGAATGCTATTCCCAATGGATGCTGCTGTGCTGTTCTCCTCACCAAGCTCCTTAACCCGCTTAATCAGTGTCACAGAGCTACCGCCTCCCCTTATGTCAGTGCCGCCCCATCCTTTTGGTCACCGCCTTGTAGTCAGGCTCTTTACTGGAGCAGGTGTGAGAGGAGGGGCACAGTAAAGTTGTACTGCTGGCAGCGTGCTCTGTTTCCTAGTACTCAAGTCTGCTTTAGAAATACCAAACTCCGTGCCCTGGAGTTGGGGGTGTACAGTAATTCACCACTGCTGTGCTCGGCTCCTACTCACACCAACCAGCCTGTGATGAAAACACACCCCCTTTCATTTTCTGCAAAATAATCCCTTTGGACACACTATTTCTCCCATTTTTCACGTTGATGTTGACTTATTTAAAATAAACCGCCTCTCCAAGGTTTAACACCACATCTACTATATCTGTCTTTGTTCATCATCTTCATCGGCAGTCCAGCTTAACCAGAGTGAACATGCTGGCGAAGACAAAAAAATTAAATGATTTTGATTATTTTTGTTAAATGTTACTTTAGATAAATAAAAGATAAATCATTTAAAATAATTAATTTCATTGAATTATTTATTTAATTATAATTAATTATTTTAATGTATTTATAATTACGGTAAATTCATTTTTGAAAATAATGAATTATAAACCTTCTGTTGACGAAATATGACAAGAAAAAATACATGAAACAATCTAAAAAACAGGCTAAAACTACAATTGTCAAATGGAATTTATAAATATAATGAAATATTGCCAAAACATGATAATATTATAATGATAAAATAAATATTTAAATGAAAATAATGAGAATTATAAAACTAATATTGAAATCTAAAGGACATTTTCATAAGAAGACAAAAACTTGAACTAAAACAACAAAACTGGTAACTCCAGCACTAGTCCAGCACCAAACCACCAGTAACCAGTTTATACTAGCCTGGAAACTAGTGAATGATTCATGCCAGTCAAAGTCGCTCTTTCCACCATGTTTACTTATTTTATGTTTCTTTTTAATACATAATGGATTTACTTGTGTATTTATTATGTATTTACCAGCATATCATACTGCACTGTTTGCACAAAAGGTGCTACATAATGTCTGAACTGAATTTGTAGCCCCTCAATCTTTTTGCCCAGTGGACAGCAGCAACAAACTTATCAGGAAAAAAATACCTAGCCTTGATGCTTTCCCCTTTCGTCTCATCTGAGTAAAGATTAATCTGATCTTCAGAGCTCACATCTCCCTCACACGCTTTCGACCAGTGTCACACAGCCAAGCTCAGCTCATCGTCATTTCTCATCCTTTCATCTGCAGCCTCTGACGTTTCATCAGCCAGCCCCTCTGCTGACACGAGTCCCTGCGCGCGCACACACACACACACACACTTCAGGGAATTTAAATGTCACTCATTTCTGATTGGTTGTGTATGTGGGAAGCGATACAGGTTGTTTGCGGTCTAAAATCCACACATTCAAAGCGCTAGAGTTTCAGAGCTGACATACACTACATTTGAGATCTCCCCTATGAGCAACACAAAAAGAAACCTTTATGGGTTTATTAGGGAGGGTCAAAGTTTGTACGCCTGTCTGTTTTCAGAATATGATTCAGAGCAGCAGACACAATCTTTTCCCAATGCCTTCATGATGACTTCATTTTCAATAAATGCCAGAACATCTGAGATGTTGACCTTGCTTTTCTTCACTCATTCTAGTTGACCAGCATTTCATCTTTCACAAATAAATTCATCAGATTATTTTTCAGAGTTTGAATGCTGGAAATAGTATGCCCTCATGATTTTTACGCCCACTCCCTGCATTCACCATAGAGGGAGATACAATGAACACCAATCCAATAGAGGACCCAGCGTGTTGGAGCCGTGGCACAGGTGTATGTGATCCTGGTACAAGCTTCTTTCACACAAAGAAGTTGTTTCTGCAACTGTTGCGGGATTTTGTTCATTCACACTGCCAGAGCTTCCCTGTGTTCTGTGCTTGCATTCATACACCGCAGGGCATGATGCTTACTTTTTTTACCCAAACAGCAAAGTGCTTAAAGTAGGACATTAAAAAACTTTATGGGCGCAATGAAAAATTATTAAATACTGTGTTTTTCCTTAATAAAGGGATACAAGCAGACATTTACAAGAAAACAAAAAAAATAAAATTTTTAATAATTTCTGCTTCAAATTTATATATATATATATATATATATATATATATACAGTGGGTACGGAAACAAAGAGTGAAAAATTTAAGGGGGTCTGAATACTTTCCGTACCCACAAACTGGAGAAAAGTAGGAAAGAATGATTTTAGAGCATGCATAAAAACCTGTGGTGCTCCAAGGGATGCAGGTTCAAATCTGGCCAGCATCATGACTCAGTTTCATTCTCCACTTGCCTCTCTAAACTGGTCTGCACTATAAAAGCAAAAGCCTAAAAAGAAATCCCTTTACTATTTCTCTTTGCAGTGTAAAAGTGCTTCCAAACAGCCTTTTCGTGCAGCTTCCACACCTCATCCTTCTCTCTCGCTGTCTCTTTCTCTGTCACCACAACTTTGATACTGTTGTGCCCCTAGAACTCAAAGACATTGTGACAGTCCTTTAATCTGACTATAGCCTGTCTTCTGAGGAAAGAGTGGAGCCTAGAAACTGAGTAGAACTGAGGAAAACATGCATATTGGCAATTAAACCAGCTTTATGTGAAAGAGGAGTGGTGGACGGAATACCGGAGTTAAAGTCCAGGTACTCTAATGAAATATTACACCAGCAGAAGTGTACGTCCTCAATAAAAGTTCAAGGTATCAATTAGCCAATTGATAAATAAAAAAATAAAAAAAATAAATCAATTAAAAAAATTTGTGGACACAGACATTTAATATGCATGTTTCAAATATTTTATTTTATTAAAACTTACACTATAAAAAGGTTAAACTTTCAATATTCACATTCAAGCATTTTATACAATGAGCATAAAAGGATAATTCACCAAAAATGTAAGTAATTTACAAAAATGAAAATCATCATTTACTCATCCTCGTGTTGTTCCAAATCTGTATGACTTTCTTCTGTGGAACATAAAATAATTTTTTGAGATACAGTGGGTATAGAAAAGAATCACCCCCCTTTAAAATTATCACATTTTGTTGCTTTGCAGCCTGAAATGAAGACAGACACACTTTATGTTTTATCCAGCTGTATTTACTCAGTGCAACTTAACCATAACATCCAAATGTCATAAAATATATAACACCATACAACAGATATAACACCAACAGGTCATAAAAAAACAAAAAACAGAATCACTGAGTTGGAAAAAGTATCACTCCCTTGTGTCTGTATTGAACTGTTGAACCACCTTTTGCTTTAATTACAGCCTTTAGTCTGTTGGGATTTGTCTCTACTAACTTTGCACATCTAGACTTTGCAATATTTGCCCACTTTTCTTTGCAGCACTGCTCGAGTTCAGTTAAATTTGATGGTGACTGTTTGTGGACTGCAGTCTTCAAGTCATTCCACAGTTTTTTTAAGTCTGGGGTTTAAGTCTGTGTGAAAATCTGTGTGCTCAGTTTTGCTGTGTGCTTTGGGTCATTGTCATGTTGAAAGGTAAACCTTCTTCCGATTGACAACTTCCTGGCAGAGGGCAGCAGATTTTCCTCAAGAATTGGACTATTTTTACACATCCATTTTTCCTTCTATCCTGACAAGTGTGACCCTGTCAGTGAAAACCAGGCTAAAGTATCAAAATCTAATTATGAGAAAACAAGCATCAAAGTTTGATTTCAACCATTAATTGCACTATTATTTCAATCTTTGAAATGGCCTTACTCAGTCAATATTACAGCTATCAAGGTTATATTTTCACAGAATGTTCTTTACATTATTAAGGATGATTTTATGTAGAAAACAGTAAATCACAAAAAAATGACTTTAGCTGGGTTTTCACAGACAGGGTCACAAGTGCTCCAGTGCCTGCTGCAGAGAAACAGCCCCATAACAGGAAATTACCACCTCCATGCTTTATTGTAGGTATGCTGTTATTTGGATGGTGAGCTGTATTGGATTTCTGCCAGACAAATCGTTTGGTGTTGAGTCCAAATAATTCAGATTTAGTCTCATCTGCCTCAGAATCTTTAAGGTGCGTTTTGGCAAAACTCAGTCGTGACTGCATGTGGCCTTTCTTGAGGAGTGGTTTTTTCTTGCAACCCTCCCATACAAGCCACATTTATGGAGAATTTGTGATATTGCTGTCACATGCACACAATGACCACTCTTTGTCATAAATTGCTGCAGCTGCTTCAGAGTTGCTGTAGGCCTCATGGTAGCCTCTTTGACCAGTTTCCTCCTGCTCTTTCATCCAGTTTGGAGCGACGTCCTGATCCAGGGAGGGTCTGTGTTGTACCAAATACCTTCCACTTCTTAATAATAGACTTCACTGAGCTTCTAATTGTTTTGTTTTTAAGGAAGAGCCGTTCGTTCTGCACGTCATACGTCATTACGCTAATTCTGCGTCATTGCACATGCGCAGTCCTTTCAGTTTCGGGGTTCAATCCGATCGAATGTTTACATGCACTCTCAATCGTATTAGAAAAGGAATAAACCACTCCCTTCAATCCGATCGAAATTTCATTCCGATCGAGCTCAATCGGATCGATTAAGGTGTTCCATCTCCTGACTTGTGCCTGTCCCCAACTTTATCCCAGTGATCTTTTGGCAGTGCCTTGCCACCCATAGTTGATTGTTTGCTTCAGTTGCACCAAGGCCTGAAATGCTCCAGAAAAGCTCTTTTCATGCTGAGCTAATAAAAATGACCACAGCTGATCACAGTTGAATGTCAAATGGCTTTGTGCGCCATTGAGAAGGTGATTAGCTACACCCGATTGAGTTTACAAATCATTTTTAGGAGGGGGGTGATTCTTTTTCCAACTCAGTGGCTATGTTTACATGCACAATTTTTGGTTCAATCGGACTGAATTCATTCCGATTGATGAATCTGAATGTAGTGTTTACATGAACGCTGAATAAAGTGATCGGGTTGATGTGCACGCGTGTTTATATGTCACAAGCTTCAAATCGGAATTGATTTTTTCTGACATGCGCACACTGCACAAATATAGAGTTTCTCACTGTTTGCACATAATAACCACTCTCCTACACTGTTTCTTTATTAGTTTTTAACAGCAGAATAAATATTTATCCATTTTGGATAAATATACATATAAAATGCTGTGCCGCTCATATTTATCACGCAGTAAAAATGCCCCTCCCCGCGCCCAAAACGGGTTGCCTGTGGATGGATATCCAAAACAAGGTCTGGTGGGAGGTTGCCCTGCTCCACTTCACAGTTGCCGAGTGAAAGGAGAGTTTTATAATGACAGGACCACGCATTTATACAACACTTAATTCCTTTATTCAAAAGGAAGAATTTTTTTTTTCGTTCCGCGCGTCATACATCATTACGCTATTTCTGCGTCATTGCATATGCGCAGTGCTTTCAGTTTCGGGGTTCAATCCGATCGAGTGTTTACATGCACTCTCAATCGTATTAGAAAAGGAATAAACCACCCCCTTCAATCCGATCGAAATTTCATTCCGATCGAGCTCAATCGGATCGATTAAGGTGTTTACATGAAGGCTTTTCAGTCCGATTGAGCCGTAAATCCGATTACAAATGGATTATTTGGTTGCATGTAAACGTAGCCAATGTGGGCAAGTGACATAACCGGTGTTGCGGCTTAACACCGGTATCACCGTCAGCACAGTCTATCGCGGCAAGCCTAGTAAGCACCACTTAATTTGTTTTAGAAACTGTAGAAATGTAGCGTGAATACAACTTTAGTTACTTTCTTAAGCTAAATTACTCATTTATGTAGCAGCAATGGTGTCAGATGAAGGTGGAAAGGCCAGAAAATAATCAATCTGAAACCATGCAAACTGATGAAGGAAGAAAATCACTGCAGATGAAACCAGTCAACATTCTTCACAAGCAGCAGTTAAAAAAAATGACATATAATGTAGAACATCCTCTAGAAGAGACCAAAGCTTGAGGATCAGATGAGCATTTCAGAACAAAAGTGACTGAAATCACAGACAGATGGAGTAAGAACTTACTCTAGTTCACCACAGCAGTGCTGTGGCCCACGAGGGGGAAAACTGATTTAAACCACATTTGGTTGGATAAAGACTGCTTTAATGTGGTAAATTTAGGTGAAGCAGAATATTAGTAGGAAATAATGTAGGACAGGACTTAATAAAATATGATATTTTTGGCTAATAGTATTTTTTCCCTGCCTATAGTGCCTCAATTTCATCAGTAGAAGAGACAATTTAAAAAGAACATTTCAGAGGCACACATTACATTTTGATGAAACATTATTGTCACGGGTGCACTGCTGAGCGGACTGAGGAGCAAGGGAAGACAGAAGACGAGGAGTACATCAATCCAACTGGGTTTAATTGACACAACGGAACATGGAACACTCACGCTATACATAATGACATGAACAATACCGGATGCTGGAGCACACACAGGGAACCCTATTTATACACACAGGAGGAGGGGATGACGAGACACACCTGGGAGCAATGAAACATCAAGGGAAACACCTGGGACAAATTAAACATGGGAAAGGAAGGCACATGAGGAGCAAAACAACCACAAAACACGGAACAGAGTCTGACAGTAATACTATTTTTTTATTTTGTTTTTATTTTTTTCTGACATGTTGGTGTTATATCTTTCACTTGGATGTTATAAGTTGTACTTGAGTAAATACAGCTGGATAAAACATAAACGGTGTCTGTCTTCATTTCAGGCTGCAAAGCAATAAAATGTGATTATTTTAAAAGGGGGTGATTCTTTTCTATACCCACTGTATGTCTCGGGTTTGATTACCATTGACATCCACTATATGGACAATAGAACACTATTTGATTACCAGCATTCAGAATGACTTCTTTTGTCATATGCATTAGAAATACATAAAGAAACTGGCAGAATATTCTCTTTTGGATGAACTATTTTTATAGCACCTTTTTAGTACAAGCTATAACCTTTGGGAAAAAAATGGAATAAGTAATTTTTCATGCCATCAGTCAAGTCCTCTACACACTCAAGCTTTTAGGACCATAATATTCTCGGTTCTTGGCTGATTTTGAGTCAGACAAGACAAATTCTGAGTAATTTACGTTAGTAACCTGAATGCTCCGACCGGATCAATGAATCAGTTGTTGACTAAAGAAAAGGTGCAATTGGATCAGTCCAATTCGAGAATGAATTATTCAATGCACTCTGTTAACCAATTCAACAGTTTCATTGAAAAGAAGCAGCTCAAAAGAATCAGACAGATTGCTTTTCCATCCCGGAGCGGGTCTCGGTTTCTTCAATTCAAAATAACAAGGAACAACAAGTAAGATATTATACTTTGGTATATAGTCAAGTATAAGTTAAAGTCTTCAAAATAATAGTACAGATACTTGAAAAATGCTCATCTGACACAGGGAACATACAGGCCGAATAATTCAATGCAACAAATATAAATATCCCCTTTAAATAATTAATTACCTCCCAAATATATATTGAATTATTTCTTGAAGCTTCATGGAAGATCAACAGACAGAAGACGACACCATGTAACCAGCAAAATACTATAACCAAACACACACACACACACACACACCTCATCGAGTAGGAAGAGAGAATAGATTAACTCTCCCCACTCTCAGAGTTTAGTTAGAGTTGAACATTCTTTGGTATCGACTTAGAGATTAACTCACCTCCACCCTTCCACCTCCCCGTGGGGTGTTACCATGGAGATACAAATGTGGGAAAGAGGCTGTAGCTATCCCACAATTCCACACGTCTCTACGGGGCAAGAGATCAAAACGAAAGACTCTCTCTCTCGCTACGACTTTCTTTTGTTAACCCTTAGAAGGCTCCCTGCGGCGGCCGGATCTTTTAAAACTCAGTACTAAAGATTTACAAAGTGTCTCTCTGTAGGAGAACATTGAGACCAGCAGGTGTTGTAATCATACAACTGCCAAAACAATTCATTATCAAACCCCAGAGTCTAAACCCTGAACCAACCACTGATCTTACCAAACCTGTGCACATGCCAAGTTACAAGAAAAAAGCTTTTTTTTTACTTTTCTAAAGACTGAATTTGTGCAACAGCTAAATACAAGCACCACCAACACAAAAAACTATTAAAATACCAAAATAAACACTGAAACTTTTATATACACTACCTCTCAAAATGTTGGGGTCGATTAGATCTTGTAATGTTTTTGAAAGAGGCCTCTTATGCTCACCCAGGCTTTATTTATTTGATCAAAAGTAAAACAATAATATTATTATAATTTGAAATAACTGGTTTCCTATTTTAATATATTTTAAACTGTAATTTATTCATGTGATGCAAATCTGAATTTTCAGCAGCCATTACTCCAGTCTTCAGTGTCACATGATCCTTCAGAAACCACTCTAGTATGCTGACTTTGTGCTTTATCAATTTTGAAAACAGCATTTACTTAAAATAGAAATCTTTTGTAACATTATAAATGACTTTACTGCCACTTTTGATCAATTTAATGCATCCTAGTATTTAATGAACGATAGTGTAAATATATATATTTTTTTATTTCTCAAAGATATTCTGTAGCCAAAGGTTTCATGGTGCGCAACAGTGATTTCTCACCTAAACTCTCATTTTAGGAGGATTTGGCTGAAGGTGAATTTGTAAGTGAGTCCGAAAGTAATGTATTATGGATTATTGTTGTATTATTTATAATACTGTATGTATTATTGTTTTTCTGCTTCTGTTTGGTTGGTAGCAGTACTGTGTCGATGGACGAAATCTCATTGGGCGCCTGTTAGTTTATGTCTGTTGTCTGGTAACGGTAAATGTGATTTAACAGTAAACTGCAGCAGGGGTCACAGCAAAGCCCAGAGCTGAACTCTCATGTGACTTGACGAGAATGCCATTGCCCTGTGGGAGTCACAAGACAGTAGTAAGAGGAAAAGACAGAACACTCATGGTGATATGAATGGGAGAAACTGCAATGGCACTTTTTACTCCAGAACATGCATGCCTGTTTTTTTTGCTGAAGATAC